AGGAAATGCTGCTGCCTTAATAAAATACTTAGATTGTATGGTGGGTTTGGCAAATAAATGGCAGTTGGCTTTTAATTATAATAAATGCAAGATAGTGTATGTGGGTTATGATTTCAGTTAGAAGTATTATTTTGTTGGGAATAACTATAACAGTGTTTTAAAAAAAACAGGATCATGGTCTCTTAATCCATCCAAGAAGTCTCCAGTTGCTTGTGATGGAACAAATATTATTCTATGTTGTATTTACAGAAACAAGACATACAAGTCTTAAGAGGTTATAATTTTATTGTATAGGTCACTGGTGGGCCTCATTTGGAGCACAGTGTGCAGTCTTACCTTAAGAAGAACAAAGAACATTGACTTTTCAGAAAGGTTCAAAGTACAACCAGGATAACACCTGGGATAGAAGATCATCATACGAGGACAAGTTAAGATCTCTGAAATAGTTTTTTTCTTTATAAAAGAAGAATAGAGGATCTGAATGTTTTGAAGCATTAAGGTTATTAAAGGTATTAATAGTGCTAATTCATCATTTTTTTTCATACCTAATGGTGAGAACAGTATAACAAAGAGACATGTATTTTGGCAATATAGGAGTCATCTTCAGCTGAGACAATTTTATTTTTCTTATGTCTTTGTAATGAATTGTTTTCAAATGTGGTGGATACAATACATTTAAGGGAGTTAAAGAGAAGTCTTGATAAATATTCAAATGATAAGAGCTGGCTTTGAGTTGTTTTTAATGTATAGTGAATGAGTCAACTGTTAACATGTTACGTCATTTACTGATAGTGAGTCAAAAATGTACAACCCTTGTTGACACAGCTACATCCTGGAGAAGTCAAGGGTAAAACTGACCGACAGAAAGGAAGGAACTCTCATACTAATCTTTCGCAGGATCTATAAAAACTCTTGGCAATTCTGACTACATGTATGTAGTTATTTTGTGTGACAATAAGCATAAAAACTATACTTTATCACTTAGATATTTTTCTGTCTTTCGGTTTAGATAACCTTAAAACCAATGTGTCTTCACTTGTGAGGCAATTCTCCTTGTATAATACACCAATTCACAATGTATAGTGGTTTTATCATTCACTATCTGTATTATTACTAACTAGAGTGTATGATTATACCAGGGAAAAATAAATCATTTATTTGTATAATGTTACATTATACTAATAAATGATAAGTTTTCTATAACTGTGATAGCTTCAAAAGTAATAATGAGCTCAATGTCAGAATACTGAGCAAATGAAGTCTGCCATCATATTCATAGGACCATGAAGTATCAACCTACTTGCATGACATTATTTTAAACATGTATTTTCTTCACAAAATTTGAAAATGGGCATTCATGAACTTACAATATCATTGAAGGTATTATAAATTTTATAAAACTACATACAATTTGGTGTCATAACCTACATATCCAGATAGTAGTTTCAAGAATAATCACTTTGCAAATGAAGACCCAATAGTTTCAAAGGTTTTCTTAAACTAAAAGGAAATCAAATGTTTAAAGGCAAAAACATACAACTCTTGTTTTCACTATTATATTAATAGTCACATTAACAAATTATGTTTTGAACAACAAAAAAAAATACTAGAAGTTTGAAACCTTTTTATGTAACATACCAAAAAACTCTTATAACAAAGTTCAAGATGAAGAGAAGGTTCGGTGTTTTAGAAAAGATAATTTTTAATCCCATTTTAATTCAAATATCACATTATCTTAACAAACTTGCTCTCTTTTTCCAAAACTATAAACAAAAACATTATTAAAGAACCCATTGTCACATATGAAAACAATATACATTAGCTACTTAATGTACTACCAACAAAGTTTAAATAATAACCCAACAGTGGTGAATACATTAATAAAAGAAAAAGTAAATACTTACTTGTATCTTCAGCCAAAAAAAAGTAATATAATATCCTTACATATTAGATAATAAAAAAAATCTATTATTTATTACACTTCTTTCTCTTGTCCTACAAAACAATTGTGACTATTCCTCACTTTTCTTTAATCATATGCCTGGAAATTGATTTATTAGATGTATGTAAGTCTGATTATACAGTGTACATATGTGCAACTAGCCAGATAAAAATGAAACTAACACCTCAGTGCTAATAAAACTAGTATGAAAGCCATTTTGTGAGCTGCTTTTTTGAAATTGGTTTTGGCAGTTACTTAAAGGAAAATCACATCTAAAACATCACTCAGTTATTTTATTTACTTAGAACTTAGAAAATGAAATTTACTTTGGCTTTAAAAAAGAACACAAATATGAGTATAAAACAGAGAGAACGTAATGACAAACTTGCTTCTCTTCTTAGCAGAAAATTAAATTACTCCTATTTCTCCAACTGAGAATATAACACACTGTAATACCTCATAACTGACAAAAATACTATTATTACAGTAACTCTAAGTCAAAACCTACATTGTTCAGATGTTATTAGAGAGGCTTAGCATATTTTTTGTCATCTCTATACATAGCCACAAAAAGCTGAAATAGATTTATAATTTTCTTTTCAACTTCAAAATGCATCTTTTTTTTCTTTTTGGTATAAGAAAACAAAAACTATGACAGAAAAATTATAAAACTTAAGCAAATGAATGTGAAAATAAAATTCAAGTTTCCTTGAGCTATTGGCTATATATATTATATATTTATATATATCACCAATAGCTCATAGAATCTTGGATTTTAGTTCCACAATCATTGCTTTATAATTTTTCTATCATAGTAATACCATTAGTAAAGCAACTGAAATTGATCATAAATTCCTCAGTTGATAACTTTCCCTGACTCAATAAATCACATAAAAATATCCTTACATTTAATATTTGTTATGAATACAAGAAAAATAAATAATAAGTCATTTTTATTATTATTATTAACTTAGGTAAAGCATCGTCAGACTCCATTAGTCCATAGCTATGACCTTGATTGAATACGGTATAGAATATTTTCCTGCTCTTTTTCAGAATTAAAAAAAAACAGATTCATTTATTTTAAAAAATACTACTGCTTCTAAAACTAAAAGTAAAACAAGAAGTTTCTAGCCTACAAGTATAATGCTGTCTGTATCTGGAATTATGGTCAACTTAAGTCTTAACGTAACAACTTCTTGACTTTGAGTGAAACGTAATTTCATAGGTTTCATACTAAAACAGTAATATCTACGCCAATTTTTTAATTATATGTATCAATTCTAAACACAGCAAAATTATATGCACGATAAATACAAAGAAATCAATGATGGCTTACCTCTTCTGAAATCACACTTCAGTCTTCATCTGTCAATGCTAGTTTTATAAATTACTTAATTAGTGAGTTACCCTAGTTAATTGTAGACTGCTTTCCTGTCCTTGTCTTACATTTGACTCATTTTGAAGTTTGACTAAAAAAAATATATGGAGCACAACAGACTATAATACAGATGCTTTACGAAAAGCACTGCAGTAATGCCAGTATTCTGCATATGAATAAAATACATTTACAATTCTAAAAGTAAAGCTGCGAGTTTAATCTTACAGCTTTGTAGCTTCCATCTAATTGCTTTCCTGTTTTTTCTTGATACCAGGCCTACAATATATTAGGTTTATCAGATTAAACAATCTCAACCTTCAGCTCTTGCGACCTGTTACATGTATCTGCACTACCAATACACAAAAATTACATTCACACATACGTTTGAAGGTCTATTGCGTAATTACATCAGATACTTCCAGCAACCCTCACACAAATGTTATGAAAACGAAAAAACCTTCAGCGCGTATATATCACCTACTTACATAAATTACATTGAAAAACTTGCGTCAATTACGCAAGATTAAAGTCAGATGTATATATATATATATATAACTATTATTTATACACTTATTAACTTACAAATTAAGAACCCTGTTTTCAGTTAATTATACTTGTCATAAGATATTATCATTAACCCCGATATATTTTTAACACTCATCATGTCAGAAAAACACGTTGGTTCAAGATCTCTTAAAATAAAACGATAAAAAAAACCTATAACCCGAGCGCTTTCGAAAGATGGACCTTTCTTCCTAACGGCACGTTTTGTTTTGTTTTTTTGCCTGATTTTTGACAATTACTCCTATTGATATATTAGTAATAAGAAATACAAATGACCAATATTTTCTGGTACCATCGAGAACATATGTTCTTTCATCTGTTCACTGATGGACTACAGAGCAGGGTGCAATGTGTGATAATTAAATTGACTGAAAAAAAGCTCATTCTGTGATGGGTTTTTAATAGATCTTAAAATCTTGGAGGGAAATATCTTTTGCACATTATAGATGGTTCAGACTCCGCTTCCAAAGAGGAAAATTAACGTGACTGATCTTAATAAACAATTAAATATAATATTTCTATGACTTGTTTCTCTATTTTCTCTTTATTTCTATTTGATGTTTTACTGTTTCCCTCAACTTTGTTTGTTTGTTTGTTGTTGTTGTTGTTGTTGTTGTTTGCTTTGGAGAAACGGGGGGAATTGGATCCGCCCTTCATGTTCGCTTTATCTATTGCTGACGGCGTGTTCCGTTTAATCCAGAGCTCATCAAACGGGCTGCGACGCAACAAATACAGTATTGGTCGAAACACTATTCATCTAATGATAAGTATAATTAATTATAATCATGCTTCACCAGCATTAAAGGCGTTCACACCAAAACAGTTGTTGTTTTCTTAATATTTTAGAACGATCACCCCGAAATCTATATATGGGTAGCTCTTTTTCTACAGGTTCATATTCTCTCATTCCTTTGATCATTTATTAAGATTACAATCAACTATATTTGCTTCTAGTTATAATTTGTTACGATACCCTTTATTGAAATATATATATATGTATATACTAGCTGGAGTACTCGTCCCCTGGACGGAAGTTATGTAAATTTATGATTAATGAAGGTTATCTTAGCACATAAAAAGTTGCTTCCCTTGTAAGTAATTTTGAAGAAACGAAAAAAAAAAGCCCATAAAAACTGTAAAACACAAAATGTGAAACCGCAAATTTGCCTGTATCTCTACATGGACCCAGTAAACCTTCATGCCAAATTTGGTGAAGATCCATCAACATGGGGCGAAACAGTGGTAAAAACCGCAAAATGCAAAACTGAAAATTTGTATGTATCTCCACATGGACCGAATGAACCTCCATACCAATTTTGGTGAAGATCCATCAACATGGGGCGAAACAGTGGTAAAAACCGCAAAATG